AATATTGTACAAAGCTCTTAATCGATCAAGCATGAATTACGCTGCAGGAGTTTATCATACAACGTTGCCAAAACTCATTGGAAAAATTTGGAAGCAAGAAAAAATTATGCCTGCGGTAGATCATCTGAAGTAGGAAACGCAATGCATTCCAATAAAAGACCGCCGTATGTTATTCGCATCTCAGTACACACTTCAAATAAAATAAAAAACCAATCATTTATGCCACGAACGAGAGGGCAGGAAATTGAAATATCCCTCAAAGACTATTTAACCAAACAATGCATCGAACTTAACATCGATGAAGACAAAACGACCATCAAAGAGCTGCACACTTCTTATGTCTCAGAGTCACTGAAGGTCTCGCCGTTAATCGGGTGCTGAACAACTCAACGCCATTGGGACTAAAAGAAAAAGAGCACCTCGAGCGAAATTTTTGAATAGGGAAAAACAAGTGAGACTGACGCAACTAAGAAGAGGTTTTTGCTGTAAACTAAACGATCACAAGCTTTGCATCAAAGAATCCGCCACAGAGAAATGTTACTTTTCAGAGAAATGCCACAATATAGAGGGCAGGACAGTTCACCTCACCGTGTCTCCTTGCCTTGGAAGCAATCAAGAATTCCGTGGGACAGACCTCGAAAAAACCACCGAATTCACCCAAGCCCGGTGAGGGCCTTCACAACAACGATCAACATCAACTTGACCTAACTATCTGAGACAACGAGCTCGCAACAAAGCACATTGTATATTCAACCCCCTGCTCCTTTTAAAACAAGATGGCACGGTTGTTGCATTGTAGCCACAGTCGGTCATATATATTCGTTGCCCATGTGTCACTAATATGGGGCGTCTTCATGGTAGCGGAAGTTAAGCGTGACTATCAACTTTTTCCATCGACATCTACATGTTGAGTCTACCATCGATAGGGCGTGTTTTTCTTTTGCGTCTTGAGCAAGCGTAGCCTGGAGCTTATGAGGTTCTCTCCTTGATCCAACTGAAGTTGTTTTGCGCCAAGAAATGGCGCTGCGTGCTTTGAATTGAGTAAAGCTACCCTAGAGCAGCAGACATTGAGGAGAGAACAACCAGGGTTCTTGATGCTTGCTTTACATCATCCAGAGGTCATGATTTTTGTTTTAAACTTGTGGACGCACAACCCTTTGTTTTCACTGCCAATTTTGCACGCTTTTAGTTCAGCGATGATATTCATAAAAAACGGCTTTGAACCTTTTGGTTGGTTGGTTTCTTGAGGGCCTGCGTCAAAGATCCAGGGGGATGACAAGCCCCACTATTCTAAGATAGTCCAGGATGTTTTGGGAACGGCGTTGAAAATCGGTTAGGCTGGGCGAACTTCCCAGATGTTATTTTCTTTCAGCGTTTCTTGCGGTGCATCTCAATTAGGAGGTATTCTGTGTCTTCAGTTTCGAGCTGACACTGCGGGCAGGTGCTTTCTTCTTCACGACCGAAACGGTGCTTGACTTGTTGTAATCGAGTGAACCTGTTGAGACGGAGTTGGTACAGAGCATCTCTTTTTCTCGTGATTTCGTTGTCGATCTCTCGAGAAACTCCCCTCCTGTCGCGTTGTAGTGCGTATGATCTTCTACATTATTGTGGTAGTGATTTTCTTGCAACTTGTTGGTATTTTCTTTGATAAATTTTATTTGGTCGGACAACACAAGAACTCTAATTGTTTCTGTGAGGTCGATCTCCAGTCAGGGCGGAAGTCCGAAGTGCCTCTGGATCTGAGGGCTCTTTTCCACCCCCCCCCCCCCCCCCCACATTTGAATCTCAGTTTTGAAGAACTTCTGTTACGTTGTCATAATGATACGAAATGTTGCATGGTGAACGAAATAACTACTGTGAACACAATTGTTCTTCATAGCTTACATCGTAAAATCACGTGTTTAGCCATAATATTACGTAAATCATTTTAAAAATGGAACGCTTGAAACTTGGGGGTGGGGTGGAAAAGAGCCGATCTGAGCCTGGGACGATTTTGCTGAATGGCGAGAGGTGCCAGATGATGGTCCTCGGGAAGCAACTTGATCCTGGAAAGCAGCTTGGCGCCTTCTTCTTCGGCCAGAAACTGAAGTATCTGGAGACCGGCTTCGGATAGCGTTTGGATCGCTGGAGAACCTCCAGGCGCGCCGATGATGATTCTGGCGGCTTTGTATTTGGCGGACTCGATCTTCTTTGCGCTTGTCTGTCAGAGGACGTGAAAGAGCACTCCTGCTCCGTACATCCCGGCAGGTCTGGCATACGTCTTGTACAGTGACGTAAGGTCGGAGGCGGTGAGAGCTCTGAGGATATCGCTTTGAGGATATTTTTGCTCTTGTTGGCTTTTGAGGCGTTCGTAGCGTGGCAGGTGAAGTTGAGCTGCGGATTTGAGGTGACACCGAGGCAGACTAGGTCGGAGTCTCGGCTTGACTGGTAGCCGTGAGATTGTAGGCGAACACGTGTGATGAAAGTGGATGCTGATCTATCTTAGCAGGTCTGAGGTGGTGATACAGGGCAGCTTTCTTGAACCGTTTCGAAAACTTTCTGAAAAATCGCCATCAGGCAGTAAAACTGATAAATAAATTATCTGAATGGTAAATTTTGAATCATGGAGCACCACAAGGGACAGTTCTCAGACCAATAGGTTTGATCCTCTATATTAATGATATTAATGATGCAGTTTTAAATAACCAAAACCAAGCTATTCAATTTGCAGGTGATACCAGTCCGATAGTGAACCAAAAATCTCCAGATTTGTTTGTCGCCTCATTTTGATTTCAGATAAAAACAGAATTTTTTTCCTGTGAAAGTAGTATACACAGCTTTCATAATAATCACGAAATTAAACTTTCAAAATCGATTCAGATATCTCTTAATTTTCAGCAAAAAGGCTCGAGTAATCTGTTTACTATATCTTCTCAGGAACGAAGTACCAGTAAATGTTTGCATTAGTTGAACAAAATTCTCTGCAAAGTAGCGCAAGGAATCCGCTCTCTATATCTTGTAAGGAAAGTAGTACCCTTAAATGTTCGGATTAGTTTATGAAAATCTTGAGTATTATCCCATGCATCATATAGCGCAGTTTTCTTACGAAATTTACGAATTTCACAATTGAGTAGAGTAAATAAGCAATTAAACGGGGGTATCAGAGTCTGTTTTTACGTTGAATCTTTGACAGAGCACGTGATTTACTAATAAAAAGCCAAATACTTCCAGCAGAGCTTTTGATAACGAAATAAGATCTTTCGATTGCTGAAGAAAAGAACAATTATCAGGAAATGTTTTGTCTACGGAACACTTAAGCTGCATAGAAACACTAGAACTCTACAGGTAATACCCCAGAGTCGAACAATAAAGCAAATGATCAGCGACAGGAGGCTGATTTTAAAAATGGAATTCAATAACTAAAGAATGCAGACAGGTCACACCTCAAAAGAAATTTAACGAAAAAATAAAGATGCATTTTCTTCTAGAGAAACACGAATCAGATTCAATTGAGCTACAGTTTTTTTTCTTAGTAAGCTGTTTAATAAAAAATGCATCATTTGGTTCCACGTTTTATTTAATTTTTATATTGTTGATTGTTTGTAAATGTAATCATTCCTACACGTTTTTATTACCGAAGAGGTTATATCAAATTCACATTTTCTGCTGAAAAAAAAAACACGAAACACGCCAGAGCGACTCTCAGTTGATAGAGTTTCAGCACAAGAATGATTAGCAGTTCATTATGTCAAACACTGAACTCTTCGCTGTGCTTACTGTAAGTTATCGCGCGACACCTAACCTTAATTTAGCTTTTAGCACTTTTTTAAGCAATTTTTTCGGGCATATCTATTTAATACAAAATTTTTTTGTGAAAATTTAGGTTTTTGCTATTTCAGCGGAACTGTTAAATTAATTATCATGAGTAAACTCTGTACTTTGGCGTCGGATCGAATATCGCAGGAGCAATTTATTTTTTTTTTCAATTTAAGTTGCTCGATTTAAATTAATTTTTTTCATTTAAATTGAGTGGGCTCATAATTTGACATTTAAATAAATTGAATTTTAAATGAAAATTTAGATTAAATTAAATTGTTTTTTAATGGACATCACTGCCCACATCATAACGTAAGCGTTGCTTTTTCCGAGTGACGGAAAAGCACTCTGGGTTAGCTAGTGTTTTTTAACACTCAAATTTAGGTACCTCAAAAAAGAATCACAGTGGATCAAATGTGGTATCATTTGAAGCCATGCAAGTCAAAAATATTCATTCTAAAAAGTTGTCTGCTGCGAAAAATGTTTCCGAGTTATATGAAAATGAACTCTCAATTTAATTCCCCTACCTTTCATACATTGGTTTTGCTATTATATCGTCTCTTTAGACTAATTCCATCGCCCTTGACACGAAAAAGAACAACATGAAACTTAGCTAAAAAAATTATAAAAAGTTTTTTAAGATTATAAGATTTTTTTTCTTTTTTGTTTTTCTGACTTTATTAACCATTGTGGCCGAAACATTCGAATGTTACTGTAAAGATGCTTCACTGTAAAGCGTTGCCTATTTACAGATAGTTCGAATTAAGTAAGTTGTTATTAGTTCTTTGCTTTGTGTAGTTGGGTTAAAATGTTCAATTAAACTAAGTTGACGATTGATAGAAAGAAAAAAGTGTTACATGTGTCGATAAAAGATGCTTAAGTATATGACTGATTGTACATGGAACGATTTGGCTGAAAACCATGACGTGTTCTCTAAGTTATTTGTAAAATCTATGAAGCTGAAATAAATTCCGCCCCGCTTTTCCGTTAAATCACTTGTTAGCTTTTTTGCTAAATTACTTGATAAATTACTTGTAAAATCAACGAAGCTGAATAAAATTCCGCCCGATTTTTCTCTATATTTTTTATTGTTTGCTTTATACCGTTAAAGGCTTAAACTTCTCCTGTACCAGATACTTAACAAATTGTGACAGATTATGGTACAATGGCTCTTATAAATGTGCGGTCTTCGATACATTATTTAAAGGTAGAGATGAAATGAGTCTGATGCGATGACTGTTTCTGTAGTCTCGAGGTCAAACTTAGCTCTATCTGCACGCTGTGTGCCTTGCCTCCTTAAACGACGTGCAATTGCAGAATCCAAACGATCTCTCTCATCATTTGAAGATGTTTCATTCAAGTACCTGAATGAATTCCAGAACTCAATATCAGAGAAGACAAGGAGAGACTTCTGGCATGACCAGGCACAGGCCATATCGTGGATGAAGATGCCAACAAAAAGTCAGACACTCCAGTTTGACCCAGAGCCACGAGGCGATATGATCAGACCAAAATGGTAAAGGCCAGAAATGCGCTTCTTATAGAAACTGAACGTGGATAGTTCTGAGGCTACGCCACTTAGCTGTTTCAATGTTATTTTCGTAAATAGCTCTCAAAATCATATTTTTTTAAATTAAAATGTAATTGTTCAAACTCTATTAATACGTCAAAGGGTTTCATGACAATTTGTCCCGGGCCGATTTGCCTCCTGTCACCTCAAAAAGTGCTCTTCATATATTCAAAAAAATTGTTAAATATATTCAAATTAAATTTTTGGTCTGGTTTAATAAAATGCTCTTCACTATTTATTAAATTTTTATCTATCTTTTCAGCTTTTAATATTAATTTAGACCAAAACTACGAGATAGAATTTTATTGTTGGTTTGATGTTTGTATGTCAGGTTTGTGGGCGGTGAGTTGAATGCGTGTGAGAATTGTGTGGACAGACATGTGCAGGCAGGCCATGGTGACCAGGTGGCCATCATCCACGACAGTCCAGTCACTGACTCCATCTCAAAACTCACATATCAACAGCTATTCCACAAGGTAACAAGAGAAGCCAGTCACTCTGAAGTAGCCCAGAAGTTCCGATCGCAGTTATCATTGCAGAAACAAATGAACTCAAAATAAAATGAAACAAAATATTTTCTAATAGATCAGCCGCTTATAATATTTTTTTTTTGCAAAACAAAACAGTGAAGGCCATTGTTTCTTTCGTCTCTGGAGTGGTCGGTACAATCAGTGGGTTCAGAAGTCGACTTGCGAATATATTCAAATAGCACGAAGTCCATGGTGTGTTCTGAGTAAATTATTCCGCATTTTGTAAAGAAAAAAAAGATGATTGCAGTACGTTAACACGAAGTAACCGTCCACTGGCTTTGTTTGGATACATTTTGTTTAATAATGTACGTTTTTTTTCTATTTTCTCTGTATTTTTTATGCAGAGAAAATTGCCCACCAAGCATGAAGAAGTTGCCCACCAAGCATGAAGAAAATTTCCCACCAAGCATGAGAAGTTGCCCACAAAGCATGAATAAAAACTTGCTTGGTGGGCAACCAAGTTGACTGTGCGGCAAATGATCACAATTAAATCGATATTGTTACCGGTGTCCATATGAGTCCTCTGCGATGATAAAAAATACCTTGTTTGTCATTCAACTTCTCAATAAGAGTTATATATTTTAGGTGAACAGTTTGGCTTATGTTCTGCAGAAAGAACTGAATGTTGTAAAAGGTGACCGAGTCTTGATCTACTTGCCGATGATCCCCGAAGCCGTCATCACTATGCTCGCCTGTGCGCGTATAGGCGCAGTGCATTCATTAGTATTCGGAGGATTCGCGGCGAGGGAACTGGCCACTAGAATAGACCATGCTGAACCCAAAGTGGTGGTGTCGGCGTCGTATGGAATTGAGCCCACGAGAAAAGTCAACTACAAGTTACTACTGAATGATGCCTTGTCGTCTGCGCAGCATAAAGTGCACAAATGTCTTATATACCAGAGACCTGAATTGGTGAGTGCTACAAGTCATCGACGTTTCAAGCTTAGATTTAAATCAAAATAAAAGGGCTCAGATTCAAATCCAAATTTGAAAGTCCACCTTGTTGTTCCGACCTACGATGGCGACGAGAATTTGGTTATTTAACGCATAATTAGGTGCCACACGTGAATGTCAGATGAGGTCGTGTGATCTATCATAATAATGCCCTTTCAGTCATGAATAAAAACTTGCTTCAGTTTCTTCGGAACTAACACTTACGTCGAAGAGCGTACATTAGAGAAAAAACGTTAGGAAATTTTTGCGAAGACAAGGAAAGGGAGCGAACAATATAATGAACGCTTTGATGAAACTGACTCTTCTCTCAGTGCTTTATGAAAAAGGATATTATCTCAGCTGAGAGTCATTTCTTCTAGCATATAAATTGGAAAAAGTATAGAATATTTTTTTGTCGACTAGCCCGGAGGCCTTACCCGGAGGTTAATTATTTAGGATGACATGAGCGCATATATTCAGCTGCACCCTTTAAGCTATGACTTACTTGCAAGAGCTCACCTTACGAATTGCAGCTGACGTGCGATTTGAACCAGCAATCATATGATTGCTGGGCACCATGACTACCGGAGCGCCACAATGCCACAAGACTTGCATAGAAACTTTGGAGATCATGGAACAATTTGACTTTCTGTGCGAGGGATACAAAGCAGTGGTAGGATAATATTATTGTGGATCATGAAATCATTGTTGGTATGTGTTTCAGGACCCTGTGCAGTTGAGCAGTGGGATTGACCTGAACTTTGGTGAGATGATGGAGAGTGCCAAGGACAAAATGGTGGACTGTGTGGCACTGGACGCCATGGATCCACTCTACATTCTGTACACTTCAGGCACCACTGGAAAGCCAAAAGTAGGAAGCAAAAGTTGACATCACTAAATTTCATTACTTTTGAGAAAACAAATTACTCGAACTGTTCGGATGATCTTGCGAGTCGCGATGAAATCTTGAGAAATTGAATTGCCATTCTTAATAGAAATTCGTTTTTTCCTATTTAAGCAATAAATCATAGAAATCAAGTGCAATTGTTATCCATACAATGTCTGCTGGTCTGCTACATGTTTTGTTTCTTTAAAAACTTGCGAATACGCAAATAAGAACTCGGATAAAATTTTTGTTGCAGTTATGCATTCTTGTAAGCCATATTGCAACTACAATGCATACTAGAGAAATTGGGGAACAGATTTTTTGTGATGCAAACTAGTGTTTTACTGCATCTGGTACCAACACTTACATTAAAGAGCAAGTTTTCAACTGAAAAACTGTTTAAAAATGTGCCTTGATGCAGCTATGTAGTTTTCTTTTTAGGCCATAGTTCGACCAGTGGGGGGTCATATGGTAATGCTGTCCTACTCGATGCATGCGATCCTGGACGTCAAGCCCTCGGAGACATACTTGGCCGCATCTGACCTGGGCTGGGTGGTGGGACACTCTTACATATGCTATGCGCCTCTGCTCAACCGAAACACAACCATCATCTATGAGGTCAAAAATTATCTTGTTACTTCATTGGATTATAGTCTGCCAAAATCTCTCAATGTATAAACTGTTAATAAATGCCTGATTAGCTATCTTCGCCTAAGGTAATAGGAAGTAAAGGATCATAAAAAACGAAAAGATGTAAAATGTCAATGCATTTCGATCAACAAAACTCATCTACAGGACTTATCTGAAGAACAAAAGAAGTAAATGATGTTCAATTTTTCAGGCAGATTAGTAAGTCCAAATCTAATCGATCTTCATTTCTGTTGCAAACAAGGAATCGAAAATTTATGGGAGTGAAAAAGTTATATTTTTTTTGTTACCGCCATGTAGGGGAAGCCAGTGGGAACTCCGGACGTGACAGCCTACTACCGGATCCTGAAGAAGCACAGGCCAGTTTCTCTCTTCACTGCACCCACTGCTCTCAGAGCCATCAAGAGGGAGGATTCGGAGGGCGAGAGGGCCAAGAAGTTCCTGCCTTTCAGCAAACTCAGGTCCATCTTCGTGGCAGGGGAACATCTGGATGTGGACACTCTTCAATGGGCCAAGAGGACTTTCAAGGCTCCCGTCATCGATCACTTCTGGCAAACTGGTTGGTACATGGTTTTGGGACTATTTGTTGTAAAACGATGTTTGATCTTGCAATTTTGAGGACAATTGAAATGGTAAAAATGATGGCGACTAGGGATATACAGTTCAGGGAATTTAATAATCAATTCCAATTCAATGCGGACTTTTGCAAATATGTTTAAAAAGCAGCTACTTCTATAGGATTTCTGGAAGAAAAAAGAGCATCCTAACATTTACGGACGTTAAATTTTGTCGTGCAGTGGTCATGATAACTCCCTCATTGTCCCAAAATTTCTGCGAAAACAAATGGCTGAGTATGCTAAAATTTTTAAGTAACTTTCTTGGAAATACATTTTTTTCTCTCATAGTTTAAATTTCCAATGCGGCTTAGCTTAATTTCAATTAAACTCAAGACTCCAAAGTCATTGTATTGGTTTTCTCAATTCATCGCGCATCTCTAATGGCGACGAAATGTTTCTTTTTGTTAACTTTTAGACTAATGGTTTTTCGGGGTGCTTAGAAAGTGGTTCTCCTATTCTATCAGTTATGATGGGCAAACAGATGGACACAAACACGCCCCTGGGATCATCTGGCAAAGCAGTGCCTGGATTTGATGGTAAAGTTACTACATAAATTAGGCATGCTCATAGTTGGATTCAAGGGTGAGTGTCGATGGAATGTCAATCCTGGGTCGGACGCTCCCCTCTGGGGTTCGGCTCCTGAGCACCCACAGGGTCCCCCTTAAGTCTTATTTTTTGATATCTATTTTTGGTCAATCAAGCCTAAATTGTTTCTAAATGGACGCCACTATGCTCTAAGTTGAGAGGGAAGGTGGGGAGGAAGCAGCGAAACTCCTAGATCTGCCCTTGGGCGTGCTAAACCAAGCACGAGTTTCAATTAATGACAATTAGTTTTATAGTTAGAGTTGTGAATCCCGAGGGAGAGCAATTATCTTCGGGGGAACTCGGAAACATAGTGATCAGGTAAAAGTCATCTTCCAAAAACAGTACATCATTGTGAGAGATCAGTATGAGAAAATCAGTTCATACAAAACTGTTACAGGACGCCTTTGCCTCCTGGTTTCTCAGATGGGCTCTACAAAGACGAGGACGACAAAGTGTTTAGAGAAAAGTACTTCACAACATTCAAGGTATTCTAGCATGAAACTAGCCAGAAAACTTCCTTATGGTCTTAATGCTTGCGCTTAGCAAGCGTTATTAAATCGGAATATAGACTTTTTTTGGGTTGAAAACTTATTGAACAGAATCACTTGTATCTTGGTGCGTAATGAATTCAAATTTTTATGAGTCTCCAGCACGTAGCCTGGATGTGAAGAATACGCATGGGAAGGCAAAGTTTGTGGGTTTGAATCTGAGCAGGAATCTGCCACCTCGTAAAATAGATTTTTTATACGCATTTTTCAAAATACTTGCTTTAAGTGATTTAAATTACTCCTGCAATTTGTATTTTTACTTGTCTTGACTTCGTATATTTTGCTGTTTTTTTTGTCGCTTCGACTTAAATGGTTTCGATTTATATTTAATTATCTGAACCTGTTTTGGGGTCATTTCAAGGGAATCATAACTTTATGCTTCGTTCAGGACCGAGGAAAGTGCTAAAATTCTTTGAATAGAATTTATACTTCAAGTTTTTTCATGACTTCAAAGTTTTTCGGTTCTACTGGAAATTATTCAAATTTTTTCGGTTCAGTTGCCGCTTATTTATTTTTTGAATTTTCATTGATTGGTGTCAATTATGTTAATCGACGTGTTTTCCGCAAACAGAACATGTTTCCAGACAATATTTCGAATTTTTTAAATTTTGGTTTTTAAGTTTTTTTTTAATTTGTTTGTTTAGTGGCTTTCTTTTTCCTGTCTACTAGTTATAAACTCAAATTCAATCAATCATCCGGCCTATCTGGCGTTTATGTAACAAATCTGCCTGAGACAGCAAATGCTTGTGGTTCGAATCTGGCCGGGGCCTGTTTTTCGGCAATCTTGTGTTTTTGTAATTTTGCGGACTATGGTCCGTCTGTTTATTTTTGTCGGCTTTGTTCCTGTAACTCGATTTTTTCAAAGGTTAAGTGTTCTTTTAATTTGCTGTAACACTTTGCTTGATGTCAAAGCCCGGGATTTTGATTCCAATCGGGACTTTCTTGCAAACTCAAATTTTCTGCTGATTTAGATTAAGGCTGTCTGTCTGCTTATTTTTGACAGCTTAGTTCACGCAGAGAGGATATTTTTGAAATTTCGTTTTTTTTCTAGCATTCGGAAAGATCCTTGTAAAATTTTTAATGGTGCAGGTATTTTTCCAGACCTTGGGCTTTTCTGCGATTTTTTTAAGTCTTACGATAAAAACGATTTTAGAGGTTTTCTTTAATTTTTGATTTTTTTTCATTGGATTTAAATCACGGTCATTCCTTTTTCTGTGGCAAGTGTGTAATTATGGTGCATAACTATCCTTCTTCATAAATAATTAAAGAGCTGAAATTAAAGCGTTCTCTGTGGTGGATAATTGGCTTCGGCTTCTAGGGATGCTACGATACTCATGACACTGGCTTCTCAGATGTAGATGGGTTTGTGAGTGTGCTGTCCAGAACTGATGACGTCATCAATGTGGCTGGCCACAGGCTCTCCACCAGTGCACTCGAAGAGGTCATTCAACACTTCCTTATTACAATTGAAGCTAAAATTTCATGCAAATCTAAGTCGTGAATAATAAAGTGCTTCTTTTGGTGGCACTTTTGAATTAGTAGACTGCATTAGCAATTTAGTAATTGACATTTGTTTAGTAATCAGTTACCACATTTAAAGCTTTTTTATTCATCAATGGGACATTTTTTTTCTTCCCCCCACCTGCGGACTTTTCCGTTTGCATGACTTTTCGGAAATTTTCCAACTATATACATTTTACTACATGCAAAGTTAGCGTGGTTGCCTTTAGTTTGTTACATTCCAATTGATTACATGTAAAATTTGAGTTTTTGTGCATTTTAAAGCTCCTGAATCTTTGCCGCTTTCCCGCTCGTTTTTGCAAAGTTGCAGCTTCGCCTCTTTATCAGATGGATTAAGCACTCTCATTTTGAGTTTAATTTTTGTATAAGTGAATGGCTTCTGGGTTAATTCATGCCTGACTGTTTCAAGTTAACCCGGCTGATTTTGTGTGGTTGCAAAATGTTCTGACCTGATGATTACCTTTAGAAATTCAATTCTGGTGTTTGTTTTTTGGTCTGAGAAACAATTTGTTTTCTTTTCAATTTCTTATAGTGTCGTTCGAGCGTACTCAAGCGTATCACAGCTTCATTGTCCAAATACTTTTCGAAGAAGGTGACTTGATATGAAAATATTTCAGGCCATGCTGAAGCACTCATCAATTACGGAGTGTGCAGTAATTCCAGTTCCAGACGAGATCAAAGGATTAGTTCCGCTAGGTGTGGCTGTTCTTAAAGCAGGTAAACAATCCATATTGAGCTTTATCATCAAGTTGGTGCCGATTCACCTTTTTGTTCCGACCACGAATACTAAGGAAGGTGTTTTGTATTTTTTTGCTTGTCACTCATAAATCATGTGCCGCAAATAAACTTAGATGGTTGTTCTGACCGCTTCACTGTAAGTTACCGAAAGGAACTATGGATTATCTATTCTTTACTTTCGCCCATTTTTGAGTAACTCAAGAAAAACTGGTAGGTGGTCAGTTGTTGGATCATATTTAAGCCCTGTGTTTCTTGATTCGGATTTCAAAAAACTCAGGCTAATTTGCAGACTAACTTGCACTTAATACATTCTATAATCAGTGAGAAAAATGATGCCTTTCTACAGGGGTGGATTTGGGGGAGGAGGCTGAAGCCCGGCCTCCCCTCTCCCATCAGGGATTCGACCCCGTGCCGACCCAAAAGGTCCACCCTTTGTACTATTTTGAGATATCCATTTTTGGCTGAATGACCCTAAAATTGTTCTAAAGGCGTTTTTAGGGCCAATATATGCTAATTTTGAAGGCGGAGCGCGCGCCGATAAAACGCGATCTTTTGCTCAACATTTTCCAAAAAGTGCCCAAAAAAGCTTTTTTCAAAAAATTTTCCTGCGTTGCAGAAAGTTTTGTCAAGATAGGGTCTTTATAGTAATTTGTGAGAGCTAAGAAAATCAAAAATTAATTTGGTCGACCTAAGAAAAATTTGGCCGACCCTCAAGAAAATCCTAGATCCGCCCCTGCTTTCCTCTCTAATTATACTGCGTTTGAAACGTTATTTAAGCCACACTCATTCACGCCAAGTGACAAAAAAATCAAACATTTTTTTTTGTCTACCGAATTTTTTTATTTGGCTCACTGAATTTACTGTGATCGAAATATTTTGTGCTACTTGCACATCAATTGGTTATTCTTGTTGTTCCTACCATTGAAAATGGGAAGAACTTTGTATTTGGTTGCCTTATAATTTTCCACGCAAAATCAAGTACGACAATCATCGGACTGGGTCGAGTGATACTGCATATAAGAGCCCTTTCAGTCGTGATTCGAACGACAAGAATACACTAGGGTCAGCTTAGTGTATTATTAAGAATCTTTTTTTTTCAACCTAAGTAGGAAATATTGCTGCCTTTTTGGGACGTCTTTACAGTTTTTTGAAAGCTTTGGGGCACCTTTACAGCTTTGATATTCGAATAGTAATAAGTTAACACATTTGATGCATGTTTGATTCATCAAATGAAACGAAAAAAAAGCAATTTGTTTCAAAAAACAATCATAAAAACTCGATTTCGAAATTTTCTAACTCAATATCTCTTGCAGTTTTTTGAAATGTGTTCTCGCTAGTGTTTGCGAAGCGAAGCTTCGTCTCTGTGTAAAATTTATATAGAGTTGTCCCAGTGTCGAGAAAAACTGGTTTGCATTTTCGAGTTTCAGTCGATTTCGAGCGTGTCAAGCGACCGAGTAACGTTTGTTATATATGAACTTTAGTAATTTAGGCTTAAAAAAACTTTTTTTGTCAAAGGAAAACAGCTCTTTTTCCTTCCCCCACCTGCTGAGTAAATTTTCTGTTCTTATTGTCGGATTGTTATAAAATTTGGCATACGGACTAATTAGGCCATGACAAACATATTTGGTCTTAATACTCAACCTTGTAAAACCACTTGTTACATCATGAAATTGATGCTTATATGAGGAGGGGGAAGGAAAAAGAGCATGGAAAACTAATTTTGGAGGCTTCATTTAGCACTTCTCTGGTTTAAAAAAAAACTTTCAAAATGTTTGAAATTTTTTGTGCAAAAAATTAAAATTTTTTGTTGAAAATGTTTTTCATTTTTTTCGTTTAATTTTTTCAAAGACCTTTCTAGTCGTTTTCTCCTAATTCACTAAATTTCTACGCTATTTTATAGTTCTATCATCATACGACGCACAACAAAAGAAACTAATTTGAAAAAAATATATATTTTTTATGAGAATGTGGTCGGAACATTTGATTCTACTTTCACAGCAACCGGCTATCCTAGTTTTATGTTGTATTTTTCCTTCAGCCAACGAAGGTGAAGTATAATAATGACTTTTAATCAGTTTGGTATCCTTTTTCTAATCTTTTCATTCTCTTGTCTTGTTTTTAATCTTTTCAAGTTTTTAACCTTGATGATTGACTTGTGTATGTATACTTTAAGGAACAATCTTTGTGTGATGAGTGCACAGGATAATTCAGGGAGACGAGAAACGACTTGAGACGGCGTTTACTATTTTACACCTCGCATTATTTGTAGCTCACTTCTAAAACAAACTTAAAATTCGGTTCTTTTTTTGAAAGGCAAAATCCGATTTTTCGATTTTTTTTTGGCTGATTAACTAACCAGAATGTTAATTATTCAAAGTTTAGTAAGCTATGACTATCTTACAAGAGTTGACGTGGTAAATTGCAGTGCACGATCGAATTGAACCCGAAATCATATGGTTGCTGGGCACCATCACTACCGATGCGCGACAACGCCACCCGATGCACCACAATGCCACCTTTTTCAACTTTTTGTTATTAAAACCTCCATTTGCAAACCAAAGTTTCCCCTAGGTGATTGCGAATAAAGTTTCAAGTGAAGGCAAAATAATCCTGTTAGTGGACGGCATGCTGTCTGTTTATTAGCAAATCCAAGAGAAATGTTTTTTTTTCCAGGAGTGTCCAACGTGGATCTAGTGTGTAAGGAGTTGGTGCAGTTAGTGAGGCACGACATAGGTCCAGTGGCAGCCATGAGCAGGGTGCTGGTGGTGTCCAAGCTGCCCAAGACCAGATCGGGCAAGATATCCAGAACTACAATGGCGTCACTTGCTAAAGATGCGCCCTTCTCTGTTAGTCATCACCTGGGCCAATGTACTTGCATATATCAACCACTTGTTTCCCATTTCTTGGATGCGGTTTGCTCACTCGGATCGTCGGCGGGTCAGATGAAAGCCCTTCTTCACTCGTTATTTTGACGGGCCGCAATATGGAACTTTCGAAACGTTTGAATTTTTCGGCTAATTTTTTTCGTTTTAAGCAAAAAAAAAAACGGGCTAATTTGAAAAGTTTGTTCTCTTGCTACCTGTACAGCAACTGTATTTACTTTGTTTCTTGTAACTTTTTTTCGTGAAACGACGCAATGAAGTTTTTCCGTTGTGTTTTTAACATTGCGAAGCCATTCTTTTTCCAGTGTATCTGCTCAAATTTTTCTGAAGCGCATCATCTATTGCTACTTGATATTTTATAACTAAATAAGGCAGCAAGTCGGATAGGTGATTGGAAAAAGCAAATACATTTCAATCTGTAGTACTGTGGTTTGAATATCGAACTCAGTTGAAACAAATTATTTTTCAAATTTTTTTTTTCCTGCAGACAAGTTCTTAAGCTGTCTTGCCGGTTTTTTGCGTGTTTTTAGTGCAGCTTCGCCTGCGTGGAATTTTTAAATTCTCATTTTAATACAAAACATCTCTTATGAAGGTTTAGTGTCCTTAAGAATATTTCTAAGAATCGAACAAGGGGTAACATGCTAAAATTATCTGATGAATTGGAGATTTGAAGTATTTTCCCAAGGATTTTTTTGGTTCTTCACTAAGAAATTTTTTTTACTTTTGCGATCAGCATAGTGTGTTATTACGAACATTCTTTTTTGTCACCTAACTCGCCAATAAAAGTTCTCTGTTCTCTGCTTGATTAGTGACTGAGTGGTTAATGATACCAATTAAGCTTCCGTGGCTTAGTGGTTAGTTTGTGAGAATGTTTGTTGCATGTTCGAATCTTTCTTTCGCATGTTCGAAAGGATTATTTCTAATTTTTATTACTGCACTTCATAGAGCTGCTTTTTGTCATGTTCTCGCAAGTGTTTGCGAAGCGAAGCTTGGCCTCTGTGTGTGAAGTTGCTTTACTAGTGAACCTTAGCGACTCCTTCGAGACTCCTTCCCCCTTGGCTTACAGGTAACGCTGTTGCCTTTCAACCCTAAGATCTGGGGTTCGAGTCCCGGCTGGACCATATTTTTTCAGCATATATGAAATTGAATTTTTTTCCGGGAAAAATTGAGTTGTCGGACTTTCGTTTGTCTGCTATCTTTTGTCGGCTTAGTTGCCAAATTGGAAAACTGTTTTCTGTTGTTAGCAATTTTTATTGTGGATGCAAGTGTTTTCGATTTACTCCTCTAATTTGTAAAATTAATAGCCCTGGCTTCTCTTTTCCTTTTTTTTGCGTTTAAGTTTTATTCGACCTAAATTTTTTCCGTTTAGGTTTTATCGGCGTAGTTATTTTTTTGGTGTCGATTCAAAGACAAAAAAAATGATTTTTTTTTTTGAAAAACTCAGATTATTTGTTGCAAGATTTCAAAATTTTAAAACTTATTTGTTCGAAATTTTTGTATGACAACAGTTTCTTCTGACTTTTTTGTTTTCGGCTGAATGGGTGTCTAGCCACTTCTTGTCACCTTAGTGGCCGCTCGATAAGTACTAAAAGCTTTAATACTCTCCACCCCCAAAACAAAGATATATATTTTGTCGATTTTGTTATTTCCGTCTCTTGTTCTATTCGCTAGCGTGCAATGCTGCGCTTGCATTGTATCCCAATTGATGCGATGTTCCGCTTGGCTTCTGTGTATCAGTTAAAATTCAAGTTTATTTCCTAAAAGGAAGGCAAGTTCTGCTCTCGGTGTTAACAAAAATATAAATGACGTGAAATTAGATTTCTATAGACTTATAGCAGATTTTAATTTTTTTTGTATTTCACAGCGCAATAAAAATAAATACTAATCGGTCCAGTTTTGGGTCAATATGGGTTAGTTTTATGAAATTAGTTTAATTCATTCAATCAGAAAAATTTCTTCATTTAGAAGCATTAGCTTTAGTCATTCAATCAGAAAATATTCTTCATTTAAAAGTTTTAAGATGATATCTTTTCTTTGAAACTTCGAAGTTGGTATTTTTTTAGCTTGATTTTGGCGTTTCTTTCAAAAGCGTTTGTTGAATGGTCTCTATTACTCATTTGATAGCTGCGTTTGGTACCACTTCTGTATAATATCTTTCAGAACATAATAGACAACAGTTGAATGGATAGACATTTGATTTGGCAGCTGAATGATAAAGCTCGCTCAAAATAAAACAGGTCCTCATTGCAGAGGTCAGTCAACTTCAACTTCTTTGATGGTTCATGTTGATGCCGTGAAGCTATTTTATTGTCATTTTTTGGGGGCTTTTTTTTGAAAAGAATCTGAATTGGTTCAATGAAAATTGAAGCACGGGTATAAATAAATAAATTTGATTTGTAGTAGTGCAGTAATATAACAATATAGAAAACTTATCTTTGAAGGATGAAGGAGCACCTACTTGAGCAAGCACAGAAGGTATTTCAATTGAAGCGCCGTTGAGAAATTTCTCTTAAGTACTATCTTATATGGACTTGATTGTATAATATAAGTAACATTTATCCAGAAAAAAATATCTTGCATCTTTTTAATATATTTTTCAGAAATATATACGAGCAAAGAAAAGTAGCAAAAAAAACAGTTTTCTGGCTTGAAAATTGTATATTATTTTATTTGCTTTATTTCAATTAAAACGATGTTTTTTTCTGGTGTACGCTTTTATGGTTCAATGATTTTGAAAAAAAACTATCTAATTACTTTTTTACCAAAACAATGAAGTCGCAATCAATTAAATAAGTATCTCTGATTTTATGCATAAGTTTGTCTATAGTCTGTTTAGGCGCAATTAAAATGTCTTTAATGGTATTCGTTTTGAAATTAGTTAGAGAATTATATAGTGTCCGTATTCGCACAGATATTAATGTTATCTATACTATATTTAAATGCTAGTGACAGCTATCTCCTATGTTTAAGCGTAGAATTTTTGCATGTTTAACGAAAGAATTTTTTCATGTTTAAGCTATATCATATATTGCAATGCTTAAGAAATTTTTTCAATTAGTTTTCCGCAAGGTCAGAAGTTTTTCAGTATTTTTTTCGAGGTCAAATTAAATCTGTCTGTCTGTGTACCTGCTTTTTAAATTAATTTGATTATGTTTGTCTACCCGTCTCCTAATTTTTTAACTTGCAATTTGCTTTCGATGATTCAGTTTAAAATTACTACTGTCAAGCTGTTGTCTACAATCTTTCTATGTCTGGATTTTCTATATTTTTTCTGCCTTTTTTTCGAGCCTTCTTTTTCGATCTTTTTTCTATCCTTTTTTTCTGTCTTTTTTCGATACTTCTTTTTCTATTTTTTCCCATTTTTTTTCTCAATTTTTTAATCTGTTTTTTCTATCTTTTTTCCTTCTTTTATATCACTTGTTTAAAATCACCTGCCGCCTCCAATTATGACTGCTCAAATCCTTGTAGTTTTCGAGATATGACGTTTTTTGTGATTTTAAAAAAATTGAATTAATTTCAAATTCCTTAGCCTGTAGTTGGGTGCTGTCAGGGTGCTCTCAGGGGTTGCGAATCTTGCTTTCAAATATGACTGCTCAAATCCTTGTAGTTTTTTAGATGACGTTTTTGTGATTTTTTTTTCAAAAATTTTTCAGAAAACTTAACAAAATTTTTTTGAAAATTGGAAATGCCCAACCCTGTAGTTGGGGGCTATTATATTACTTTCAGGGGGTTCCGAAACTTGCATCCAATTTGGACTGCTCAAATTTAAGTCGTTTTTGAGATATGACGTTTTTTGTGATTTTTTCAAAAAATTTTCAGTGAACCTAAACATAATTTTTTCTTCAAAAAAATTGATATTCCAAACCTGTAGTTGAAGGCTATCAGAGTGCTCTCAGGGGTTGCGAGCTTTCATTTTCATTAGGATTGTTCAAATTTTTGTAGTTTTCCAGATATGACGTTTTTTGTGGTTTTTTCAAAAAAAATTTCACAAAACTTAAAGGATTTTTTTCTTCAAAACTTGAAATACTCAACCCTGTAGTTTGGAACTATCTTGGCAGCTATCAGAGTACTCTACTGGTTTGCGAACCTTGCCTCCAATTTCGACTGCTCAAATCCTTGTAGTTTTCGAGATATGAGGTTTTTTGTGATTTTTTCAAAAATTTGATTTTTGCTTTCAAATATTGAAATTCCTTACCCTGTAGTTGGTTGCTGTCTAGGTACTCATAGGGTTTGCAAATTCTTCCTCTATTTATGACTGCTCCAGTTCTTTTAGTTTTTTCGAGATATCAGGCTTTTCATGATTTTTTTAAAAATTTTTAGTTAACTTAGATTGAGAAAAATGCACTAAATTTAAATATCCCAACCCTGTAATTGGGTGCTGCCAGGGTACTCCCAGGAGTTGTAAATCTGGCCTCAAAAAATGACTACTCAAATATTTTTACGTTTCGAGATTCGACATTTTCGAGATTTGACGGAAAATAGGAATTGAAAAAAAAGTATAAATATGAAATTACCAACAATGTAATTGGGTGCTGTCAGAGTACACTAAAAGCCTGTAGATCTGGTTTCCAATATATGCAGTTTTTCATGAGTTGATGAAAAATTCGAAGCACCGGCGGTGCGTTTAATGCTAGTTTTCTGTTAATTTGTTTGTTGTTAGTGATTTTATTCATCTAGTGGTATCGAGTGATTTGTCTCATTCTTGTTTTGAAATAAAGTTGTTCACTTTGTCATTTTCATGTTCTCGTCTTATTACTTCAGAGAGTAATTTCCGCAGTTCGTGTACGTGTAATTTTTTGATTGAGCAATTTACTTGCGTTTTTCTTATTGTCCTTACTTCTTGTGTTTTTTGAGGCGAAACGCAATACGAATTAAAATTTTTTGTTGTACTTGCAAATTTTTTGGAGTGGTTTTATTGCTAACTCCTTATACTAATACACCATATTGTTATATTGGTTGTATAA